AAGCGGAAGAAAATATGGTAGGGAACCCGAACCCTAAACCGAACCCTCACCAAATCGAAAAAGTTTCCGCCTAGGCCTGGCATTAAAAACTTGGCAGCTTGTTAAGCCCGGCCGAAGACCAGATTGTAGTTCGCAGTGCTGGGGGCCAAATTAAATCCGCAAACTGTAGACAAAATGCAATAAAATAAATTGCAACAATATCCGCAAAAACCAAGGCGAAGCTTAACAAAATAAAAGTTCCTTATAAATGATGCTGCTAACCTGAGTGCCGCATTTGGAGTGAACATAATATAAATTTTCAACCGAGCTGAGCAGGAGCCAAATGAAAGGTGACAGCTGGGCTGTGGGGCTGTGGGGATGTGGGGAAATGGGGCAAGGAGCTATGGCTAAACAATAGTTCAGCAAAAAATAAGTTGAAAACGAGTGAGAAAAACTTAAGTGCCCGTTAAATTTCCCAGCGGACTAATGATAAAAGTTACGCGACTCCTGGCCCCACCTTTCAGCCCCTCGCGCGGCCATTTTCCTACACACCTATACACTCAGCTATAGCTTTCCTGCAGCATTTCTCTTCTCGGCTTGTCGGATTTGTTTGCTCTTTAACCCTTTCCATTTGGAGCCCTTTCATTGTTTTTCCCTTTCGCCATATTCTTAGTTGTTTTTCCCCTTGCCTGGAGTACCGGTAAATACATTGCGGCATTCAAGTTAATTTACCACAAGGAAGGAGCCAGCAAGGAGTCGCAAGGAGCGGAAAAGAAAACCTGGAAGGAGCAAAAAAAGAAGGAGTTAAGGGAGGACAGGCTGAAAAAATGCAATGAAAATTATGTTGAACCAGACCAAGGGATCGTAATTAGTTTACTGCCATTTAACTTGCTACATTAGTTGCAATTACGTAGTAAATATTGTTCATTTATTGTGTAATTTAAATTTTTTAAATGGTTTGCCGGGGTTTCCCTTGATGGAAAATGTTGCGGATTTTGAGGATTTCATTAGGACGTTTATGTTAAGCTATTAAATAATTGTAAATGTCTTTTTAACTTTTAATTTTTGCAGAAGTTAAGCATGTGTCAATTAAAATAATGCAGCTTACTTTATAAATTTAATTCCTGTTTAATCTTCAAAGTGCGTAGACATACAAAATCCGTTATCAATTACGATTTTAATTCCAGTATTTAATCAAATAAAACATAGTCAACCATTTAAAAGAGACAACAATTTACATGCTCACATCCTTAACCAGATTAAACACTTAAATCCAAATATTTCAAGTGTCAAGTGCTTTTTGTCATTTTGCCACTACGGAGATCTTGAAAAATCTTTCAAGAGCTCTAAGTATTCCTCAAAATTTAATTGATGCAAATTGTTTTCGGCTTTTTATTTAAAATTAAATATTTTACTTGCCGTTGCTGTTGATACAGCGTGTGCGTGCCTTTCGATTTGTGTTTGTTATGTGCTTTGCATAATTTAACACTTTGCCTTAAAAACAATCAAATTGTCAAGTGTCAAAAGTTCGTGTCAGGCCAGGAATATTCCCCCGCTCGACTGGCCCGTGTCTGCGCTGCCATGTAAATGTAAATAAAAATGCATTAAAAATGTAGCTGTAATTTACACACTCACACTTTCCCGGGTAGGTGAAAATTGAGTGAAAAGCGGAGAGGGGGCGACCGTAAGTGGGTGCTTGTGTGCAATATTTTGCATTTGCCTGCCAGTTTTTCCGGTTTGCTCTGACCACAAAGTGTTGGCCATTAACCGAGCGCAGACTGACCCACTACTGGCTCTTATCATGTTTATGCTAAAGACTTCGAGAACAGCTATTTTTATAAAATTAAAATAGGGGTTGAACATAATGAATACAGCAAAGATCTTATTAAATTGAAACAAGAGTGAACTTTATAGTCGGGTTCCCTGCTATTTTCAGATACCCGTTACTCAGCGTATTAAAGTGCCAATGAGATAAAAAGTTTGATCCGCCATAACTTTTTAACGAATGGTCCGATTTAAAAAATTTCTATCTTCATTTCGATAGGTATCGACTAAACGAGTCCATAAAACTGCATTTTTACTTTTCCGAAATATTGAAATTTTTAAAATCGTCTATAAGCGATTGTGGGCGTTAGAGGGGCTGGCACCCTTTCTAAACAAACTTGTCGCTGCGTTTTAACTCCTAGATATCTGCGATGCAAACTGTCCCGAAAGTCTTCTTGCTTTTATAGTTAGTCCGAGATCTCGGAGCGTTCCGATTCGGACCGACTAGATCGTACAGACGCCCAGACGGACTATGACAGACGGACAGACGGACAGACATGGACATTGCTAGATCGACTCAGGCGTATTGATCCTTGACTCTTTAAGAACAAATATAGTTTATAAGGTCGGAAACGCTAACTTCTGCCTGTTACATACTTTTGCAACGAATCTAGTATACCCTTTTACTCTACGAGTAACGGGTATAAAAATGGTAGGTTCAGGGTTCGACTTTGGGTGACTTTATTCCGTCTTTTGCAGTAACTTTTAATTTGAGTTCATAAAATGGCCACCGCATAAACGGAGTGAACTTTAACTTTTGTAGGTTCAGTTCATAAAATGGGCTCCGCATAAACGGAGTGGCAGACGCTAACGCAGGGCAGCAGAAAGGCGGGCTGACGCGTGTTAATTTGAATAAATTATTAAAGCACGTGATGAGCGCGACCTTTCAACCAATTGGGGCAGCCAGCCACCACCACCCACCCACACCGATCCCAATTGGATGGTCAGAATCATCACCCCCCAACCGCCCTTCACCGCCTTGTGCAAGCCATGTGCAATTAAGCACGAAAAAACCAATCAAACTGGAAATAAATTGCGCCATAGTTGCAGCAGCCACACAGCGACCAGGGTTGCCATACGGCGCCGATTTTTGCAAAATTTTTTTGCCTACCCAGCACTTTGTGTGCCTCTTTTGCGTGTGGGCGTTTGGGTTTGGGTTTTTTGCGCTCGCCGGGGGTTTCCCTTTTTATTGTGGCCGCTGGGTGAAAATTGTTTGCATTGCATTCTCTGCTGATGCATGCGAATTGAGAAATATTTGCAATTTAGCAAAATACACCCGGAAGCGGGCCCGGATTGAAGCTTGAGCTCCTCTTGCCACATTTCGCAATTTCGATTTTCGCCCCGCATTTTTATTCATATTTGTATTTGGGTTTTTCCAATCGCATTCGCAGTCGAACCCAACGTTTAACACGCCGGGAGTGCGTGCAAAATGACGGCAATTAGGTTTATGTGTTGCACTGATTTGTGTTTTTTGTAGTTGATCTCCCCCATCACCTGTGAAAAATGGTGAAAATGCAATGTCAATAGTTTGAACAATTAATAAATACGAAAATTATATTTCAAGTGTGTCCCGATCACATCCGATGGCTGAAGACTCCACGTTTTGTAGAAAAACTAATGAAGTTTATTTTAACTTTATTTAGAAGCAAAAAAAATGCATAAAATATTGCATTTAAAAATCAAAGTAAATTTAGATCGAAGGCAACTCAAGTGAATTGCTCATTATTATTGATCACTGACGAACAATACAGAGTTAGGATTTAATATATAAATGCCCACAAACGTCATGGTAAATCCAAAGCATATATATTTATTTCTGCTACCCAAACTCCTTTTCTGCTCAGATCAATTGTCGAGCTCAGTGATGCAGCAGAAGATAGAATAAAGTATAAATACAATTTGTATGCTTGATGTAATTTCATTTCCACTTATCTTGGTATTTTCTCTGCATTTTGCTTCATGCGATTGATTTATCGCACAGAAAATAATAGGCAGCCAATGTCTGTGCATCCTGTGAAAGGACTCGCTCCTGGTCTCGGCCCTCCGACCAGCCAAACCATTCAATCCCTGAGCCGGGTTCAGTTTATATTCAAATGCTTACGCTTAAATGTCAATAATACGTGAAATTGAACTGCCAATTCAATCTTCACAACTACTCCGTTCGCTCCTCCGCAGCTCCAGTGAAATCATTTCCATATAAGCGTTTTCCCATCTCGTCTATTTATATATATGTATTTCTTTTCTTTTGGGTTCGCAATTTTTTTGTTATTTTTTTATTTTTTCTTTATTTTGCAAGGGAAATTCTTTCTGTTCATATGTGGAAAAACTATTTGCAAAAGTCTCAAGTGTGCTCGGTTCCCGGCTAGCTGGGTTTGCGGGGTGCGACGAGGTGTTGGACTTTTTTAAACGACGGCTGCAAATTGTACGCAGATCACATTACACTTGCTCCAGCGGACGGCATGTGCAACTGCCGGCTGCCTCTGTGGATTGCTTTACATTTGGCTGCACTTCGTCCTTTTCCTCGTCGCACTTTCTCCTCTCACCCCCTTGCACTCACTCGAAAAATTGAAAGATTTATTTCTTAGTTCTTTGCGATTACATTTCCACCGAGCTAATGTGTTCCGATCCAACGGCTACGTAGTGGCAGTTTGTCAACTGTCATTGCATCAGACATTGAATGGCGGACCGGAGTGGATAAGGGCGGGGCAATCGGCAATCGGCAATTGGTGGGGGACTTGTCGCATTTTGTTGACAACTACATTGGAAATACGGCAAAGTAATCAGCATTGTGTAAATAACCAGTTATGTGGCTCCGAGTGCAGCTCACAAAGCGAGTGGTAAGCGATATGCAATGAAGCAGGAATAAGTCCCTAAAAGGGTTTCAATGCATTTGGCAATATGCGAGATGGGATCAATAATGCGAGAACATCACTCATACGAACTGGTGGAACGCCAACGCATGTAGCACACTTTTTAGCGCTCACCAAATGTTTTCTCGTGCGAACCGGAAAATATTTAATACTGCCTAAGGTCAGCTGCTAAGCACCTTAGAATGCGAACGAAAAAACGCAAAAGCACTTGAAACTATGCGTATGGTTCTTGCACTCAATGGGCAGTTGTCAGTCTTCCGAACGAAGGTAAACCAGCGAAAAGAGGTAAAAATGTCCAAGAAAACTGAGTCAACTGGTCAGTTAGCCGCGGGGTTTCCCATCGAGTGGTCAGTCGTCGTGAAAATATAAGAAACTATTCGGTTGGAATTATTGAAAACACTACAAAAAGGAGGTGGGCATTGAGGACTAACAAACAGACGGCTCAATTCAGATTGCCTTAATTGGCAATTAAATTAAATATTTAGTCCGTTTTCGGCTCAGATCGCAAAAATAGATTATTTTCTAATAATTATTTTTGGCTAATCTCTAGCTTGCAATATTGCTTAAACAGAGAAATACAATTACCATTGAATAAAAAATAAGCTTTAAAATGCCAGCACAAGACAAACAAGAAAAAATCCTATTTTTAAATCATATTCAATCAAGTCTAATTTATTCTATCGATTTTTGTTTACCTAGAATCACTTGAAAGCATGACGAAAACTAATTTTGCTCTCTTTTTTGGTTTCTACCTACCTGTTCTCACATCGATTTGAATTTCACTTAAGGCAATGTCCCAATTCAAGGCCAAAGTAAGGCCTACCACGTCTCATGTTTTTCACGTTTTTCCTGCTCTGTTTTTAGTTATCTACTGACCATGAAAAGCTGGCCATGAAACAGTTCTTCCATTGAGGACTGGAAAAGTGAAAGCCCACCAAGGGGGGCAAACTGATTGACTTTTAGGCAAACGAGGGGAAAAAAAACATGGAACCGGCACCGACTCCATCACCAGTTCCTGCTCCTGCCCCAGTTGCAGTTCCTGCGGCTCCAACTGCAGAGGCTACTCCCGATCCAAGTAGCAGCTCCCACGGCAGTGACTCCTGCCCCAGCGGCACCGGTTTCGGCATCACCTATTGTTGCTGCGCCTCCTGTTGCAAGTGTGCCAGCTGCAACATCTACTGTTCCCGTCGCAGCTGCTCCTGCTCCGATTGCTGTCGCCCCCGTCGCTACTTCTGCAGTCCCAGCTCCTGTTGTTGCGACCCCCGTCGCATCTGTGGGGCCTCCAGTTGAAGCAACACCTACTCCTGTTGCAGCTGCTCCAGTTGCAGCACCAACTCCCGTTGCAGCTCCAACTCCTGTTGCAGCTCCACCCGTTGCAGCTCCAACTACTGTTGCAGCTCCTCCAGTTGCAGCACCAACTCCTGTTGCAACTCCACCAGTTGCAGCAACTCCTGTTGCAGCTCTTCCAGTTGTAGCGCCTCCAGTTGCTGCACCTCCAGTTGCAGCACCAACCGTTGCAGCTGTCGAAACTCCAGTCGCCGTAGCTCCTGAGATCACTGCACCACCTGTTGCTGAAACTCCTGTTGCTGTTCCACCACCTGTTGCTCCAACCGTTGTTGCAACACCCGTTTCGGTTGCAGCCGCTCCAGCTGTTGCTCCTGTGATCGCAATACCACCCGTTGCCGTTGTTGAAACTCCGGTTGCTGTTGCACCACCTGTGGCGCCTCCCGTTGTTGCAACAGAGGCTCCAGCTGCCGCTCCTTCGGTGATCGCAGTACCAACAGAAACACCCGTAGTGGCTCCTATCGTTACTCCTGCCGTTGCTCCTGTAGTCGTTGAAACTCCGGTTGCTACTCCTGTGATTGCGCCGCCCTCGGTTGCTGTTGCCGAAACTTCAATTGCTGCAGAACCCGTGGCTGTTGCACCTGTTGCAGAGACCCCAGCTGTTGCTCCTGTGATCGCACCGCCAATTCCTGCTGTTGCTGAAACTCCGGTCGCCGCAACTCCCATTGTTGAAACGCCACCAACTGCTGCAGCAGAACCAGTGACCATTGCAACTCCTGAGGCGTTCTCCCGTCGCTGCAACATCACCACCTGTAGCAGAGGCTCCGATTGCTGTTGCCCCACCAGAGGTGATTCTTCCTGTTGTTGCTGACCCGCCGGCAGTTGTTGCAACTCCTGTTGTTGCTGAGACTCCGGTGGCGGTAGCTCCTGTTATCGATGCAACACCTGTTGCTGTTCCTGAGACACTTGTGGTGGAACCGCCAGTCGATGCTGCAGTTGTTGCCGAGACTCCGGTTGCTGCAACAGAGCCGGTTGCCGCTGTGGAGACACCAGAAGTTGCTCCTGTGATCGATCCACCAGCCGTCGCAGTTGCTGAGACTCCTGTTCCTGTTCCCGAAGCCATTTCACCCGTCGAACCACCAATAGAAGCCGCAGATTCTGCATCTATACCACCAGTTGCATTTGCCGATACTCCAGCGGCAGTGGCTGACCCATCTCCTCCTGAGCCAGCTGCCACAGAAATTCTTGAATCAGTGGAAGCTCCAGTTGCTATTCTAGAACCTACAATCGCCAGCGTGGAAGTACCAGTGGAAGCCACCCCATCGCCTGCCCCCACTGAAGAAGTGACTCCTGTGGAACCAACCGCCGTTGCAGCACCTATACCTGAACCGAAACCAATAGCAGCTACTCCTGTAGAGCCTGTGCCAACGGAGACTCCAATAGCAGTGCAAGAACCAGTGGTTGTAAAAGAGGAAACGGTAGCCGAAGTTCCAGCACAGATTCCTGAAGCACTTCCAGAGATTCCCAATCCGCCACCGGAGGTTGTTCAAGATCCTGCTCCAACGGCTGTGGAACCAGAGACTGCCACTATCACTGAACCTCCTTTAGTGGCCGAAATTGCCGTAGCCGACGTTGTTGAGCCTATAACTCCTGAACCAATCGTGGAGTCGCCCGTGCCGGCAGCAGAACCCTTGGTGAATGTTGTGGAAACTGTAGTGCCGATCGCGGAACCAGTAATATCTGAGCAAGATGTTATTCAAACTGCCGTTCCTGCAGCCCAAGAGATTCCCGTTGCCGAGATTCCAGAGGCGACAACGAAACCAGTCGAGGATGTTGTAGAGCCGAGTCCCATTCCCACTGAAGAACCACCTGCAGTTTCTGAAGAGGTTCCAAAAACACCAGAGGTAGATGTTGTTGCAGTCGAGCCGGCTACTGAGATAATCGCCGTAGACCCTCCTGAAGCTCCAGCCGCTGTTGAGATTGTGCAATCTTCCCCAGAACCAGTTACTTCAGAAACGATAGCTGCAGTAGAAACAGTTCCTGTCCCTGAAACTGCTGAAGAAGTTCCAATTGTTGCAGAAAAACCTGTGGAAGAGATTCAGGTAGATGAAGCTCCCGATCAATCACCTCCACCGCAAGATTCAGTTCCCGTAGCAAAGATAACTCCTTTGCTCCGGGATCTCCAGACCACCGATGTTTCCTTATTGGCCATTGCAGCCACCCTGGATGCCATTGGAGAGAAGTTGAAGGACCAAAAGGACAGAAATCAAAAGGTTATGGACAGACTGTGCGAAATCGAGAAAATTCTGGGCCCACCCAAATGAAATTATTTAAATTTTAAGTTATAATTGTAAAGTTAATAAACATGATATAAAAATAAAAGTTATGATACCATGAATTCCTTTTTAGCTACGAATACAATACGACTAAAAATCTTCCCAACTTTTTAAAATCCTTCTTCCCTTTTTTTTTAAATACGAACTAGTTTGTCACCCTCCGTTCCCTGCAAAATGCATGAAACCAAAACAAATCTACCGTTTTCAAATTTTGGACACATTAACATGGTTGATTCTAGCACACCAGCCGCAGAACCTAATTTGCAAGCGCGTCGAAAATTTCCACGCGAGAAATTAGCATTCCGAAAGGGAGCGAGACAAAAATACCGACGATTGTAAAAGGTGCAAATGAATGAAAATTTCCCCCATTTTGTCAGCGAAAAAAAAACATAAATTAGAATTAACGTTTCGTTCGGAGAAAACTGGCAAGTTCTGATAATTGGAAATTTATCAATGAATAATTTAAATCATTGCCTCGACCCACGCTCTTACAAAGGCTCAAAGCAAATTTCCACCCTTTCTTGATTTTATTTAAATTTACTTTAATCGAAAGGAATGAAACTGGCTGCAAAAGTCAATCGGGAGAAATAAAAGGGGCGAAATGGAAACTTTTATTGCGGCAAACTGAAATTTGTGTTTATGGGCCAGTAAGTCCGGGTAAGTCAAACACCTACGGCGATTATTCTAATCATTTGCATTGTTTTGGCTGGCCAGCTGGCTCGATTCCTTTTTTCGGGCAGAAAAGGCCTCACTAACATGTTCGACAGTTCAATCTAAATCTATCGGCTACTCGCACACACACACTGGACCAAAAAAGCTGAGCTAAAAGCCGAATTCCCATTTGACCATTTTGTCTGGAAACAATAAAATGACCTCTCGCACACAGATCCACAGATCCAGATACACACTACAGACAACACAACATACATACGAAATCCCATAAATGTTGCAAATGGAGCAACAGAGTGAAGTTGTCATGCAGAGGATGCCGTGATGCCAGAGGACCAAAACAACAGCTATATAGCTATGGCTATAGCTATTCGAAACTGAAAAAACGAATTTCCTTTTTTAGACTTTTTGGAACTTTTGGGGGATGCGACGGGGCTCCGAGGGGGATGGGGATGGGGCGGGGGATAGTATTCTCATGCGACTGCGATGAAGGTTACACAACCTAACCGCATTAATGCCAGCACAGAGCAGCTCGGTCCGAGTCACAGCCAAATGTGTAATTGTTGCCTAGAGGATTTGCAAAAAGATTTTCACTGTCATTTGTGCTCGGTTTAAGGCTTCATTTACTGCTCCTTTCCGCACTGTATTTACTGACATAACTGCCTAGCAGTATGAAATTGAAATGATCCTTGCTTGAGAAGGGATAGGAGAGGATTTCTATTTAGCCCCATTAAATGAATATTAGCCAAAAGTGAGCAGAGACTTGAGCTCGAAGATACAGCTCCTTTAAATTTGACTTTATGCGCCTTAGTTAACTTGCCCCAAAATGTTATAAAAGGAGTTTAATTTTAACTTTCCTAGCCTAGCATGGTTTTTAATCAAAGTTCATTACTATTACATTGACATAGGCAGTTCGCTTTTCCAAGTGCAGTGATCAACACTTTGGGCTGGAGTTGCTGTCGACCGCAGGAACATTGGTTGGACATTTACTTGACTCCCTCGAGCTGAGGGGCTCCAGAGTGTGCCAAATCAATCAGTCGGCAATGCATAAATGACACAGTCAGGCCGGCATTCTCCTCATATGCGACATCGTCCAGCTGTCACACACGGCCATTGCGGCTAATGCGGTCCCTTGTTGCAGTCCCACCCCCCTTAACAGCCCCTCTTTCAGCAGCAAATTGGAATTATCCCCTTACCGACGACCCCCTGATGGAAGCCCCTCCCACCGCCCATGGGCTCACATTAGCCTGACACGATGAATGTGCCGGGCTGTGGACAATGATGCCTTAGTGCTTGACTGGCTATAAATTTTGAATTAATTGGTGGCTGCTGAAATGTATGTTTTTCCTGGCTCAAATACGAAATACTGGACAGGGATTACAGGCACTGATTTTAGGTAAGCCAATTTATTCTTTATTATTTAAATATTTAGGGCACTTAATTTGCTCCATCTCTCATCTGCATTTTCTTCTGTCATTGGCAGGCCAATGCTTAATTAAGATCCAGCGTCTAACAATGTCTTTATTTTCTTTCCTTAGGTTAATTGTCCTATCCTTTTCTCTATATAAGCCCGTTGAAACGTTTTTATGAGAACCTGGATAGTCTGTTTTCGATCTTAATTTGATTATCCTTTGTAATCGGAGCAGGCGTTTGTCCAATTTAATCGCATTAATTCCAGCGACCCATTTAAGGCAGCGCATTCTTATCCAATTTTTTAATTTTTCCCCCCACCCCTCTTCCACCAACAACTGTGATTAATGACTTGTGAGAAAAAAGTGAAAGGTGTGCAAAAGGCAAGGAGAAATTCATTTTCAAGGGTCTTGCATGATTGAGTTCTATTGAGTGAACTGCAGAGCTAAGCGGAAAATTTTTCTTCATTCGAACTGGCAGGGATAATTCGCTCGATTGTTTTTAGCGGGCAAGGGCAAGGAATTGTGAGCGGGGTAAGGATTAAGGGTATGATTCGCTGCCCTTAAAAGATACTCTGGCATTTATAATTTTCTAGAAATAATTTGAGAGCTGCAAATGAAGGCTCTAAACAGCCAACTAGATACAAATTTTATTTCAATAAACATGCTAAGCCCTTATAATAGCCCTATAATTAACTCTCATCATGTCGGCATTACAGGCAAATGTTTTTGAGTAATTCTTTTGGTTATTTCCATTTTATGAAAAACAATTAGCTGCGGGCCTTTCAATACAACTGCATGGGGCAAAACAAAAGAATATATATGTGTGTATGTGCAAAAATCGTTTTAATTTGCCAATGATTGTGTGCGGCCGTGGGTGGTTCAATTATTTAACTACATAAACAATAAAAATATTCGCAATTGTGTACGAGGGTGGGGCCGTATTAAAAAGTGAATGTGTCTTCTGCATATATGCAGTCATTGTTTTACAAGCCTTTGTGGGGTTCGCAGGGATTGGATGGGAATTGGTTTGGGTTGCGATGAGGGTTGTGGGTGGTGGAGGGGTGGTTCCAGATCCGAAACTGTCACTGACAGCACTACGTAAGTAATTTCGCGCATATGTTACGCCCCGGGGGGAGGCCATCCCATCATCAGGTTCGGCTTTAAGCCGGAGTTCGGCATATTCATGGCTGCTGCACACGACAAATTGAATTTTATGCAAAAGCTTCCGTTTTTTTCGGCTTCAGCTTCAGCTTCAGCTGCTGCTGCTACTGCTACTGCTCCCCTACTAAAGCGAACTTTCCCACCATTGAAAGCCGCGAATGTCTTGGCAATTCGCGGCGACATCTATGGCTAGTTCGTCTGCATTATAATTTGGTCCTTTGTCTTTCAGCCCGCACTGCTCTCAGCCATATCCTCGGTTATCCCTGTGTTTTGCACTTTGCCATGGCATATCCGGCCAAGATGCGGTTTTCTCTGGCTGCTGCGTCTGCTGCTGTCCCACTTTCGTTCGTATCCTTTTCATCCGCTTTGTTTTTGCTCCTTTTTTTTGGCCAGCCCCTTTTTTCGGGCATTGTGCAGGCGCCTTTGGTTCGACGTTAATGAGGAATTATGTTATCGCACTGTTAAGCTGCTATAAACGGCGTTATGATTGCAACCTCCTCTTCCCTCTAACCCGGTGTCCTATAAATTTACGCGATTTAAACGATTATAATCGCGGGGTTTATTTACATTTACAGGCTGAAATTTCCATAAAATCCAAATGAGTAATTCACCCAACTGCGCAATGCATAAAACAAGGACAATAACAATTGAGCAGTTTACCCGTGTAATTGCATTTGTTTCGTTGACAGACTTTTGTCAGAGCTAACATTCCATGTTGGCCGGCATTGGTGCAACAGTGAACTCTCGCTTGCGGCATCGCGTTCTCTTCCGCTGTTAGCGGGCATTGTGTATACGCCACCGAGCCGAGCTCCTCGGCTCACTTCGGGCCCGATTGGTTTGGCCTGTTAAGGTGCCGTCGGTTGGCTTAGTTTACTTTTAGCCGGTGCCAAGCGTGGTTCGCTTCTCGCTTCACAGATGAAACGCAGATGATAACAGCCTCCATAAATGATTAATATTGAAACTGATCTTGGACAATTTGTTGTGATCACTCGCGCACCAATCGAAATAATAAAATTAAGTGAATTTATTTAAACCGTGTACAAAACGATAATGGAAACTATAAACAAAATGTATTTAATCAAGAAATGGAAATATTATTGTGATCTTTGATTAAAGGAAACCTACAAAAGTAAATATTATTTACTAAACTTATCTAAACCAAACGACGGCTGATTAAAATGACTATTTAAATAAAAACAAAATTAACAAAAATATGTTATTAGATAAAATATCTTAAAAATCGGTAAACTAGCCATTAGCATGGTGTTTAAAACTTAAATAACTTTGGAATCCTAAAATCTTAACCCTAGAAAACGCAATGAAACACTTGAAGCAAAGCCCCCGCAATATCCGTACTAAGATAACCATATAAAACAATAACGAATAAATGACACAGTTACGGAATTGAACGGCAATCAAAATAAACTAAATTACAAGAGATGGGAATTTCCCGCTTTCCACACCGTCGAGCAGGGACCAAATGCCTGAGTGCTTGAGCAGCAGATGGCCCAGACCAGACCAGAAATAAGACCAAGGCGGACAACAGTCAAAAGTCGAGGATGCGGAATGCGAATAGAAATAGGAATTGTGTTAAATCATTTACACTTCCGCTGCTGTTTTGTTTGTGCAATCAATTTAATATTATTTGTGTTATCCAAGCTTTCGCTCAAGGTCCAAGGACTCCAACTCGTTCTCCTCCTTGGGGCTTGAGGAGAGAATACGACCCAGTCGTCCGGAACATTACATTTGTTTAACATTTGAGTTAACGCTTCATTGGGCCACCTACTCCACTGCCATTACTTATGTATGCCTGGCATTTCTCAAACTCTGGCTGCCACTCGTAGCCCGACTTCGAGCCCATCTGTTGGCAGAGACACAACAGCATTTAAATCATTATTCCTGGCCAGACTTGGCCAGCCAGACCCACACCCACCTACACCTTGGCTAGCCACCGAGAATCCTTTCAATTCATCCTGCTCGTGTCCTGCATCCGTAAGTTGCCTCGGTGGGCGTGTTCGCCCGCCCGGATGGCCATATGTACTCCTTTTACGCCCCACTAAACACCCGCATAAATAAATTTCGTTAATGCCAAATAGTCTGGGGCGTAAAAGAAAGATGAGGTAACACAAGCAGCCGCAGTAGCTGGCAAACCGAGCGAAAGACGGCTGCAGAGGTTGGTCAAATGGAATGCCCCAGTCCAAGCTTACACAACTATAGTTGTGTGTTCCTGTTCCGAAAATCAAAATCGCCGGAATATCGCTAAAAGTCCACAAGGCTCTTTTCAATGAATACCAATCCATTTACCCATTCTCGGTAAAGTTTTAATGACTGGAAATTGCTTTATATTTAAAGCAGTAGTGGCATTCGAATTGAAGCTAACTTTTATTTAATTAGATATTCATTTAAGTTTAATTAAAGTTAATGTTTAGAATACGTTTCCGATATCTATGTACCACATCATCTTCAGAACCTATAAGATTTTTTAACGGAGACAAGTCGAAGAGATCTTACCCACAAAAAGTTATTATCATAAAAAAATTTCTTATGTTTTTAAGCTCGTAAATTCCTTTTATGCATTATTATTTAATTATTTTGTATAGCTCAATAAACGTATAACAAATATTCCTTGCGATTCCGTCGTGAGATCTCAGACAAATTTCGAAATGTCCGAGGTAAACGGGAACACGTTGGTTGGGCAACTAATGCCAAGAGCACCCACATTACCCAGGCCAACCTAAAACTTACACAAACATATCAAAAACAGGATGCGGCGCAAAACGCCGGCCATAAAGTGGGGCACGGGCCCGAGGAACCAGTGGAGCCAGAGAATGTATGTTGGTAGAGGGAATACAGGTCTTAAAATGTAGGATGGGTCCCAGCTCGACGGGCACATTGTGGGAATATTTAAAATTGGCCACGTGTTGTTCTTGCCGCTCAGCTGAGCCATACGACATTTTTAGCTTTTAGTTATTTTAGATTGCCCCGACAAGCTTACCGGGCAAGTGCAATTTGAAAATATGTTAACCCTGCGATTTTGTGCGCCGAAGAACCGCCAGCAACGCGAAGGAGGAGCAGGAGATATTGCAGCAGCAGCAGCTCGTGTCAAGGCGTATACGCGATATTAACAAGAGCAACAGAAACAGCAACAGCAAAGGCAAAAACAACAGCAGGTCCGGAATCCCCGCCGAGGCAGGGGATAAATTTACTCAGCACAGGCTCCAGCGGCCCAACGCCGCCAGACAGCCAATGTGACCCAGTTAAAGCCAAAGGATTTAGCTGGCCAAGGACCGCGAGCCAAGGAACCGAATCGGGAGCCCGAAACGCGATACGCCGCTTATACGGGAAACGCGAAACGCGGAGCTCGGGGCGCGAAACACGTCCAATTCCAGACTCGACACGGAGCAAGGATTATCAATTTGCTTGGCACTTTAATGGAGTTGGCCAAGATGCCGGGGCGCCTGATCCTGCTGGCCCTGCTCATCTGTTTGCCGGGTAAGCTGCGTCAAATATGAAATTATTTCTCACGATACATTTGTCGCATATTAAATGACTCCCGTCCCGCCTCCAACTTCGCGGCCCTTTTGCCGAATCTTTTTCTCATGTTTTCATGGAAAACAATTTGATATGCGCGGCTTAAAAGCATTTTGTGGGCGAATTTAAGGCATTTGCCTGCCGTACATCTTTTGGCCTTTGTGCATATTTTAGCGCAGACTGTCTGAGGAGGGAAGGGGGTATAAAGGTACTCAGGGGAGTGGGGGCTTTACTTGGGATTTTTTGCTTGGCTTGTCAGGGTCAATTTAAATTATGTTGGCATTTTTGCAAACGGCGCTTATGCAGGCAGAAGTTTATACGATTTTGTATGCTCAGCCGCAGATTTTCACATCCGGAATAACATATGTTTTCTTTAAAAAGTTTTTTAAAAAATTGTAAAAACTAATTATTTTTATAATAAATGGTAAATAATTAAAATCCCTAATGACCAGCAAACTCCGACGGATAAAAGTTTAATGCAATATTTTAAGAAAAATTGTAAACCAAAGAAGGAAAAGAGAAACATTTAGCCCAAATCCACAAATGGCAATCTTTTGTATCCGTTGAGCGGTTAACTTTTCACCATCAATTAATGGTTTTCCCAAATTGTCCACGACTCGTACCATTCCCTTCGAAAAAGGAATTAAAAGAAACCTTTGAGAGAGTCCTTGAGCAACAATGTTCGGCAAATAAAAACAGAAAAAAGGGCACGGGAAACAAGAGAGAGAAAGGTAATTAAAATCAAAACGGCAACATGAAAAGGCAGAAATTGCTAAACTAAAAGTTAAAACTAAAGCATAACGAGAGTGACTCTCGACATTTTCATTTTCATCAATGAACCAAACTCGATCAAACGCTGCACTGCTGCCCTATCAGAATTTTGTTTTTTTTCCCAATGGAAAAGTTTGGGTGCAGGCGAAAAAAGTGCAGCAAGGCCGAGCAATGGGGAGAATTTGCCTGGAAGGCGAGAGAAGGAGCCTGAACTATGGCGGGGCGATTTGGATGCTTTAAATTGTGTTAAAAGCTCGCAACTTTGCCAGGGTGCACCCCGTAGCTAACCCCCATTTTTTTCCTCTCGCAAGCTGTTCGATTCTTTTGGCCATGAAAGTGATTGACGAAACGCTTGAGGAGATTCAGCCAATTGAACGGGAAATAACAACAATCTGGGTAGCAACAAGCGGGGCTGGAGGATGGGGAAAAGGGGTTGATTCGCGAAAAGTGGAAGAGCGAAAAAAGTTAAAAACTTTTACTTTTGTTTAATCAAATTCAGCTGCCCAGTTGAGCATCATTGAATGCTTGTAGCAAAAAGTGAAGTTACTTCGAAGGGCCTGCTTCCCCACAACAAAACGGATCCAACTCAAGCGCAGGTTCTCGAAAACCCCCCTTTGTTGGCTTTTTGGCCGTACTGCCTTGCGGTAGCGATAAGTTGCTCAAGTCTCGGGTTATTTTCCCACGAGATGCCTCTTGGTTAGCCGCCAAAGTGGCACGCCCGACTTAAACGCTTAACAACAATTATTACACAAAGTTACGGCCTGTTTTCGGCCCCATCCATCCTGCTCCTGCCCCCTGTGCTGTCATCATTATGGGCGAAAACTAGGCTGGCATTTTGATGAGAGTGTCCGGCCGAGAGTCCTCCTGGCATCGAGTTAACTCGTGGTGGCAGGGGGAGATTACGCCGCTCCATAACTGCGGCCGGGCGCCTTGGGGTTAAGCCAATTTCCACCATCATCATCACCATCAGCCCCAGTATTAGCCTCATCATCGCGGCAACATGCCCATCATAATTAGGAAAAGTGTCGAAATGTTGTCAGCCCGAGACGGACACAACGGAGGCGCGTCCCGGACATCAGTCAGCCTGCAGGGGGGCACACTGAAAGAAATGCATACCAGGGAGATTAGTCTATAAAATATCAAGAACCTTCAATTTGAAGGGGATTTTCCTTGACCCTTTCCGAACTTCTCAATAAAAGAAACAATAAATTAAATTGTATAGTTCAAACAAATCTAAGCTTAAGATATCTTTATCTTCTAAAATATATAATTTATTTGAAGCTAATTGGTTCGGACTTTAAAATAAACTTAAGAATAAATCATCTATCTCAAAAAGGTTAGAAAAAAAACTAAAATTCATTTAACGACATTACAAATAATCTCAATTAAGATATTCTTTAAGACATATTTAAATAGTGAGTGGTAAATAAATCCTTAAATTTCGAATTTTTGCATAAAAATGGTCAATTTTATTTAATTTAATTTTTGGTACACAAAAGAATGGCTTTTAAGATTTCCAAATACAACTTATCAAAACAAGAGCCAAATTATTCACGGAAATGACTTTCAGAATTAAAATTGTTTCGCTACTCAGCTGCGATTTTCGCATAGTTTTTCTTTTCCGCGCTGTTTTATATTATTGTTGCCATAACAATAACATAGGCGAACAAACAAAAACAAGCAACTACGCAACAATAACAGCAGCAGACAAACTTAGACTCCGGCGAACTCAACTCGCTTCCGGCCGATGGAAGTGTAGAGAGGCGTTTGATTAAAACACTTTCGACTAAAAATGCCCGCGGGACTTGGGAGCCTGCTCGGTTAATTTTAGTGTGAGGAGGCAGCAGCTCAAGTTTCCGTGCAGTCCCAGCAGCTTTCCTCCTTCAGTCCCGAGTCAATGAAATTCTGCATGATGAGGCTCATTTTATGTGTGAGAGTTTTCCGCTTTTCCCCATCCGCCTTTCCCCGCTCCACCCAGGCTCATTACGCAAGTTTTCCCCCATCCTCCGTCAAGTGCTCAACTTGATTTCCCTCTTCCCTCATCTCTTTGTGTCTCCTTTTTACTTTTTTTTATTTTTTACTCTTGCGCACAATTTGTTTTTACAGTGGCGTGGGTGCAGAGGGGCTGTGTTCGTGTCTGTTTTTACAACTTTTTAGTTTGCGACTTTCCCCTCGGTTTTGGCGCGCAAAGATTAAGCAAATTTTTTTAGCTCTTCGCCAGTTGTCGCGTGCCCTTCCTCCTATTTTTGGTCCCCAAACATCCTCGTTACCCCCCTGCAATGCTGCCCTAAATGATAATTTTTTTCGCAATAATTTCAGTTTATTATTTTGTTTTCATTTTTTCTTTGCCTTCGTCCTGGGCCTCGGACTTCCAAGTAATTCGCCTGTTTTATTGCACTTTTTTATGCTGTTTTGATTTGTTTCATCGCTGGCTGACACGCCCATCCTTTCGCCCACTTACTGCCTCGCATTCCTCCTCCTTTTCCGAGTGCCTTGGACCACCAGACGGCAGCTGTTGGTTTTTATATGTTTTGCGGGCAAATGAGTTGAGCCATCTGACAGTGGTTGAGGAGAGGCGAAATGAGAAAAGACTATTTTCAGTTAATTACTGTGAGGACCCTAAAATTGCTTTACATCATAATAAGAATAATATAATAGGGAATTGGGAATAATAGTTAGTTAATAGCAATAATACCAGTGATAACCTAATAAAGTACTGAAAACCCATTATCCTTTCGAATTTATAAATATCTACTGGTGGGTAGATAAATATTACCTGCTAGTATATATGTAGGGTAATAGATTATAATTATGGGAAATAATTTCTAAACAAAATAAATGGCTAATAAAATATAAGAAAAAAAATACTTCCTACATTTTTTGTCCACCAATTTTACGCCTAATTAACCGCACTCTCCTCTCGATTCTTTGCCCACTGTGCTCGGAGGGAAATGGAATTTTTGTAACTTTATTATAATCAAGTTGGCTGCAGTGCATCATTAGTGCAGGCAATTAAAAAGTTTTTTATATGCAATCGCTTTATCTTTATTGCACGTACACGAAGCATAAACATAAAACATGATAACGCACACACACTGGCGCACAGGCTCTCCCGCACGCACACACAGCCAAAGAACGCCTGAAGAGAGCCCCACACAGACACACGCACGACTTGGCCGGAATCGTTAAGAGGGCTTCCAGAGTTTTGCATTTACTTTGAGCCCGGCCAAATGCGCTGAACTTGATTAGAAAATGACGGAACCCTCGACTTCTCTTCTCCCGCTTTGCTCTTCGCCACTCGAAGTTCAATGGCTGTCGAAGAGCACTTGATGTCTCTCATTTCTCTCTGTGTATCTGTGTGATCTCTGTTCATTAGCTAATTAAGACCAAGTTGCACACACTTGTATTAGCAGGGAAAATAAAACAAATAAGAGAAAGCACAGCATTGTGAAGAGATTCATTGCATATCTCCAGGCGTTAAAGGACATCATCATCAGAATGTGAACAACATAATATAACTTTTCCAGAATCCAAGCTGCGTGTTGTCTGTTTGTATTTTTGCTAAATTAGTATGCATGAGAAAATTGTATTATTTTTCTCCTTAAAATTCCAGACAGATGGATTTGACAATATGGACTTCTTTGTAAATCCTGCCGGTTTCTTTTCATTCACTTTTGCCCTAATACATTTTATACACTTGTTTAGTTAGTAAGTAAAGAGCATAAAGTTTCATTCAATTTAAATCAAAATGGAAAAAGTTATGGGGCGGCCAAAATTTCCGACTTTCTTATCAACATACTGCCAAGTATTTCGCAACCCTAAACCTCACCCACGCACTTTTACTTTCACTTTCTCTGGCTGTTTCTATCTTTGACTTTCGAAAAGTTTCGAGCGAAATTTATGGCGCCAATTTGGCAAAATTTACGCGTTGCATTTGTACGGGGAAGCTGCAGCAATCTGCATTCGTGGAAGCCCCCGAAAAGCTTTCGAATCGTATGTCAAAGGCATATAATTTATAGTCGATTTTCGTATATATTTTATTGCGATTTCAGGTGGGACCCTGAACTAGTTGTTCTTCGCCTTCAACAGTTGGCGCCCCATGAGTTGCCAGGACTACCAAAAAGCAGTCTAATGCCAATTATCAGCTTTTGGCCTTTCAAATACTCCAAGAAACTTTGTTGTCAATGATAGCGCCACTCCAACCCACTTCACTCCAAGTACATGCAAATCAATTCAAGTTCGTAATTAGCTAATTAATTTCACTTGCCCCGAAACTCTACACAAACTTTTGCCTATTTTGGGGCCGAGCTTAGGTAGGCAGCAGCCGAAAAATGAAGATTAATTTATTGAACCAAAAATGTCGGGGGCCGTAAATCGTTTTAATTGTCGTAACGAGTATTCCAGATAAATGGGGATCATGGCATTTGAAATATATATAGATCTGAGCCGCTGGTCGGGGGACAGCAAGCTGAAAACAGAAAACAAAACACTAAGTCATTAATTTCCACTCACAACCTATTCATTTTCCTTTTTTCTCCCATTATCCAGCCATCAGAGGACAGTCGGAGGAGACATCAATATTAAACAGCAATGGAACAAATGGGCGAGCATTTCAAAGGACTCAATCAAGGCGCGAGGCATTAATTCCGGCGACAACGCAAATGGCCCAGACGCTGGCCAACAAAGCCAGCGCATTTGGGCCAACAATGGCTGCAGCTTTGGATGCTTTGGAAGCTGCAGCTCCTCCAAACCGCTCCCGCAACAATGTAGCCATTAATAACATTAGCAACAATGGCGATCAGCGGCTGACCGCTGCCCTCGAGGCGAATCTGATTATGAGCAATCGGAATATCCAGGAGCAGCACAGCTATAGAATCACGCAGAACAACGGCACAGCTTCTGCAGCTTCGATTGCCCTGAATGCAGCGCCATTTGGGGATGCCTCCCCATCGACAACAACTACCACAGAGGCTGCCACAACGTTGCCACCGACAACAACAACAACAACGAGGCGCACAACACGCCGTCCGGTGGCAACAACAACGCTCAAGCCACCGCCAACAATAGATGATTACCAGACAATAATTAGCCAGGCCGGCACCCATGCCTATCTGCCATGCAATGTAAGTTGAGCAGCTACACAGAGCGGAAAATATTCCTAGATTCCAGGGAAAGTTTCCTTAAAATCATTGAAAGACATAAATTAGAAGATCTTAATATATAAGGGGTGTCACAAAAATCTCTAGAGTTTTAGAAATATCCCAACAAAGGACTTCATCTTTTGAATTATGTCCACCGGAGCTTTGGACTACTTTCTTTTGTCCACCTACATAAGTAATTCATATAGCTTAGAATCGCAAATCGACAGACATGAGTAATAGTCATACAGGAGTTATAGAATCATATATGTATATCTATTTCTAAATATATGCTTTTATGGAAGTACTTATTGCCAGCCAATTTCAACATATTAATGTAATAGGATTTTCAGCCTAACATTTTATTTGAGCACAAAAAGCATAAAAATATATACTTTATGAATACTTAAAATGCAACTAAAATACGTATTAAATTATTTAAAAGCATTGTTACTGGTGTAAAAAATGCAAAATATTCTATTAGCAGCTAGCTCGCAAAAATGATTTTTTTTTCGTGTGAAGTCCTCGTGACTTTCCCTTTAATTAGGAAGTGGGCCCTGATTACATTTCCCTGTTGAAATCAGAATCGAGTATGAATGTGAATGCTGCCAAACCGACAGGGCATAATTGGGTGGGAAAATTGAGGTAGAGCAGGCTTGGAAATTTCCTGAAAATTCAATCAGCCAGCTCAAGCAAACTCTTTCGGTCTCCTTTGTTTACCGACCAATCCATCAGAGAGAAGTTGTTCGGCAAATTGCTGGCTGTGCAAATATTTACAAAAGCATTTTTATAAATCATTGATAATTTATAATAAGGAGTTCTTCCCGGGCTCAATCAGTTCGTCGACGACAAAGGGGAAGTGCGGGCGGGCGGAGGAAGGGAACCCAAGGGATGTGGCATCGATTGGTCCAACTTCCGCTCTTCTTTTTTTGCGCCATTTTAGAGCTTTGAACTAATTTACGCTGGCCGCCGTCGGAACTGAGCGAAAACAAAACCGGAAATTGCCGATGCTGATGTCGATGCCACGCCCTGGCCAAAGGGCATACATAAGCAGATGGATACACTTTAACACAAATTGAAAGTTTCCAAAACTATTTATAAAATTAAATAATATTCTGTGAAAATAATAATTAATTAATATATATTTTTATGATGATTAAATTCTTTACAAGAACTATTTCCCTCTAACTGTTTGTTTAATGCCGCTTTGATGATTTAATTAACTCCAATTTCGAAGTGAGCTTAAAAAAGATTCGACTGTAATATCTCCTTTCAAAAATATTAATACCCTAACAAAGAGTAGAATGCAGGAAGAGCTGAAAGAGACTAATTTTTGTTTGGAGCTCCTCAAAAACGATGACCCAAATACTTGTCACTATATACGGTTATACATCCGCTCGCTGTACATAAGTACATACTTATGTACGCTAAAGTGAGAGGGGTCGAGCGAGCTGCCCTGGCATCCGCTAATAACTTAGTTACCCGCCGTTCCTTGGCTCTTTGCCTGCTGCATCCGCGTGGTGCATCCGCCATCCGCACTTCCGCATATCCGCGTTTCGCATTGCAAATTATAATTGGCGCTGCAGGATTCTATCGCTGCCACTGCCAGAGTTACTATTTACTGGTTACTGTTTGGACAGGAAATTACTGCTAAGGCGTGCTGCAGAACTTAAAGTTGCACGAATAAATATTCCGTCCAACTGTCGGCAGCAGATGCGAAAAAACAGCAACGCGAACATATTCCTCTGAGAAGCTTTCTCAAAGGATGAAAAACGAAGGGTGGATGAGGTTCCGTTGAGTTAATTAAAAGATGCAGCTGAGCAGCGAGGGGTCATAAGGTGAATAGGGTTACACATATAATATTTTCCCACCTTTATTTTAATTTATTTGTATTTTTATTTTTTACAAAGTTTAGTTCATTTGAAATGGAAAGTCAAGTCTTTGATCAGTCAAGTGAAATGTACTGGAAATAATTGGAATTCAAAAAGCATTTAGCATTAAATTGCGTAGAAATAATAAATAACAATAAGGGCCAGTTCATGTTTCTTAAAAAATTTTCAAGAAAATGTATTTTTTCCATTTTTAGCATCTAGCAAATCGTTTCAATCTTTGGCTCCAATTCTAACTTAAATAAGTTTTCGAACTCCCCGTCGGCTAAATGTTTCCTCAACCATGAAATCCCCTGCTGAAACCCGAAAAACAATCTACTATAAAATATTTATCAGATAATTTAAATACGTACACACAATATCGGATGTCCCATATTCGCTCTCGGCTGTTGGCGCAGCGTGTATATATTTATATGCCCGGAATAATCTTCAAATCTGCTTAAACCTAATCAATTAATAATACATTTTGAGACCGTGGGCGTCACAAAGAAAGCAGCTGAAGGATAACGAATCGAAGGGAGCCGAAAATCGAGCAGGGAGAAAGCCACAAAAATGCTTTGCCTGCAAGCACTTGAATATTTTTTACCCAGCATCGACAGACGACGCTCCCTTCCACAGGCACTGTCATTCTTTTCTTTTGCTTTTTTCGGCGAACTCAGCGAAAAGTTTTCTTTCATTTTTGTATTTTTTGTTGCTGCTTTTCTGTGTTTTGCTGTGTTATTTCGGTGAAGATATGAAAGCAGGCACTTTGAGGTGTATTGTTGTGTGAAAAGAAAGAGGAAGACGCGGCAGAGAAGACAGAGGAGAATCAACAAAATAAAAGAAATTATTTGCAAACAAGTTTAGACGAAAATTCGCAATGTTATGAGCAAACTTTGCTGTCTGCTCGACTGTGATGGAAAACGATGCTCACGCGGAGTCTGAATCTCGATTCTGGAACGGGGTGATGACGACGACAGTCGGGGGAACATAACATAAAACCCATCGAGCGGCGGAAGTGGATATGGCAGTTTCTAGATACGCTTTTGGTTCAGTTTAAACTGCAGCTAAAACTAATTAACAATATTTAAATGGCAAACACCCGGGGATCTAGATAAGTGCCGACGACCCATCACTTTACGGCCGAATTAAACACAATCTCCACAGGCAGCGAAAATTTAAATTAGCTAATGCCGGGCGAAAAACCTGTTCAGGCCACACAGGGATATTTGTCAGCCACAAGGACAAAGGAGGCGGAAAGGACCTACTTACACTTGCCACGTACTCGAAGTCCTGACTTGGCTGCCTGCCCAGGCTCAGGCTCATCGGCCCCAGTGGATAAGCATCTTCACTTAATACCGAGTATAATGTCGATGCTCAGCCCGATAATAATGTCCTTAGTGCCGGGATACTCCTGGCAGAGACTGCGGCGCAAATTTAATAAACTCCCACCCCGCACAGTGACTTCCCTCGGCGGCTTTTTTCGATTTTTCCAGATATCTGGGCAAAATCATTTTGTACCCACATTCTGCATTCTGTATCCACGGGGAAGTGATTAATTAAATGGGTTTGCCAATAAACGTGCCACGTCAATAGGTAACGCATTTAATTACGGTGTTAAATAAAAGCAACTGAATAGATTAAAGGATTACATTTGGGTTTAAAACCGGCAAGAGATTTATATATTAAGCATATAAAGCACATCAGTCCGTTTAAAAAAAATAATCGTTGTTATGTATTCTCAGTAAATAAAATATTCAAAATCAGTACCTTTCAAACAAAAAAATATAAAAGCTATAAAACTCTTCAAATTCACTTTAAAAAGTTAAAAAGTCAATTAAATCAAATTCATAAAGAGGACATCATTTAAATTTTAAGGCTAAACTTGGGATTCTCCGAATGATTTCGTTCTGCCACTGCAGGTGTCTAAGCACTACACTTCAACGAGTTGATTTGCCGACGAAGCGGAGATGCTCATATTCATTTAAAGGAGATGGTTTTTGACAGCACGTGCTCAACCGACAATAACAGCTCGAATGGGGGTGACCGGGGGCTCGTGGGGTTCCTCAAACCCCTCCAGCTCCTTCAATGCCACTTCCTTGGCGATGGCGATGGCGACATCCACAACAACAATGGCGGCAACAACAAGCACATAAAACGCAAATGATTATAGTATCTAATCATGACGTTGTCGTCGTCGTCGCCGGGGTCCTCAGAGTTCCTCGTTGTCTGGGCCCTGACACCGACAATGTAGTTGATGACAGTGGTTCAAAGACAGTCATTTGCCTCTGTCACGACGCCTTCGTTTCGGCCAGTTACCACAATAGTTCCCCCACCGATAATTACACTGAGAGAATGGGGGCAGTTTGACTGAGGACTTGGGGTCTGTGATATTTCCGAGATTTCTGTTTGCTTTGCTCAACTGGTTGGACCAGTGTAATTAGAGGAAGTCATGCCATTGGCAATTGCTGAATCCATATCCATACATTTAAATATAGACATAGATACCTGATGGTTGGGGGAATGGTTTTGGGCTTCGATACTTCCGTATCGATGACTGGCAATTTAATGTGTATTATTTTGTTTTGGCTGGTCGTCGGCTGCCCGGGCAAATTGCCACTAAATTATTATTGCCATTATTGACACAAATGAATCGTCGTTTTGTTATCGTGATTGTTTACCGCCCAAGCAGGCATCCCCTTCTACTCCCTACCCCCTTTTGCCAAAATCTCCCCTTCAAGTTTACCAAAGTGTACTGAGGTAGGACAACGCAAACAAGCCAAAGTTCTGCTGACATCATCATCATCATCATATCATTCTCTTCGCACTGACCAATCTCCAGGGTCGGGCAGCTGGGATTTACGGTTTGAATTGCTTTTGTGCGGGGATAATTGAATTAATTTTAAAAACTGAAACCCCCAATCCGAATGATTTCTCGATAATTGAAAGTAAACTTGCTGTCTCATTTGGGCAGGTCAAGCAGCTGGTGAAGAAGCCGATTTCCTGGCTGCGGATGAGGGACGGGCACATCCTTACCGTGGACCAGACCACCTTTATCGCGGATCAGCGCTTCCAGTCGGTCTTCTCGCCGAATCCCGAGCGTTGGTCGCTGCAGATCAAGTATGTGCAGCTGAAGGACGAGGGAACCTACGAGTGCCAGGTGTCCACGGAGCCCAAGGCCAGTGCCATAGTCCATCTGAGGATTGTAGGTGAGTAAAAATGGTAGGAAAGAAAGTGTGGCATACTTTATGGGGCAAGCTGAGATTTTGTAATGATGTGTTATATTTATTTTAAAAATACATAAAAAAGGGAAAATTTAGTTAATAATTTGTATATTTTATATTATAGTTCTTATTATGATATTATTAAAAAAATTAGTTTGAAAAAAAAAATTTAGTCAAGAACTACTGTAATCTTTGTATGACTGAAGTAAACCCAACTTTCATAGTATTTACTGACCATACATTCCACTGACCCATTGGCCTTCATCCGCTAAAGTCGATGCCAAAATCAAAATCAGAATCCAAATCAAAATCGAAACCCAACCCAAAGCCAAGCCCAAAAAAAAAAAAAAAAAAAAAAAAAAAAAAAAAAAAAAAAATTTTTTTTTTTTTTAAAAAAATTTTTTTTTTTTTTTTTTTTTTTTTTTTTTAATTTTTTTTTTAAAATTTTTTAAAAAAAAAAAAAAAATTTTTAAAAAAAAAAAAATTTTTTTAAAAAAAAAAAAAATTTTTTTTAAAATAAAAAAAAAAAAAATTAAAAAAAAAAAAAAAAGGGGGGTTTTCCCTTTTTTGACCCCGTTTGGGCTTGATTTTTTAACGTTTCGAACGGATTTTTTTCTGGGTGTATAAATCTGCAATGGCAGAGACAATAAATCAATGACCGTTGCACTTTCGAGAGCAAACTTGGGGATATCTGTGTGTGTGGGTCCTGGCTTTCACTACTGCATCCATCTCACTTTCTCCCACCTCTCTCGCCTTTGTAGAGCCGAAAACCGAATTAATTGGCGAGTCAACGCGACATGTGAAGGCCGGAAGCCAAGTGAAATTGCGTTGCATAATTAGCCAGGCTCTGGAGCCGCCGCTTTTCATTAATTGGTTTTACAATCAGAAGCAAATCTATTTGCATAATCGTCGCGGTTGGCGTACGGAAATTGAACGCATCGATCTGCCAGCGGAAGTGCCAACCACTAGCACCACCACCACAACAACGACAACAACCACTACTACCAGCACTACGGCAGCGACACCATCGACAACAACCACAGGATCAACAGGAGGAGCAACGTCCTCGGAGGCGGTTAATGGTTTGGTAACCATAACACGTTCATATATTCTAGATGCCATTTCCCAGAATGAGGTTTCCGGAGTGGGAGAGGGAGTGGGGGTGCCTCTTGTCACAGAGACGTCAACAGCTCAGCTGGCTGCTGAGGTGGATGCAACATCTTCGACTTCTGGGACGTCGACGACGACAGGAGCAGGACTGCCCCCGCTCCCCGCCAGCGCAGGAACAGCGACCACTGCAGCAGGAACTGCTGCGACAGGTGACTCCACGGCAGCCGGGGCAACAACAACCAACACCTGGTTGACTACAACGGAGGAGGCAGCAACAACTGCCGCCACAACAACGACAACCATGCTGCCGAGCAGCAGTTTCATTAAGCAGATAACAGTAAGTGGCTTACCGCATTCCGCCCCTGCAATTTGCCCCTGCAACTTGGCCCCCTGGAAAATGTTCCCATTAAATGCCTTTTCATTACGCAAATTGGCGTGAATGCGAGGCAGGTAAAATAATTTTTATTAAATTCTTATTGTCAACGTTTGTCAAATTATAATTTTTAATACGGCCCCAGCAGTTTGCGCCTGCCTCGGGTTCGAGTCGTCTGACGGCTGTCTCGGCTGTTGAATAATATTTCCGTGCATAAATACAGGTGGACCTCCTTAACAGGAACTAAAATCGATATTTTTTGTTTTAATACAAAAAGATAATTTATTTAAATATTTTGGAAGTTAAAAATATAATTTCTAGTTTCAAAATTACATACTCTATATTTGTTTTACATCAGAATGGTCTTTAAAAATTTGTTTTAAAATTATTTAAATATTTTCCCATTAGGGAAGCCCCACTGTATCCCTATATGCCTGCTCATCTCCGAGTGTGCTCTTATTATATCATTGCAGACGGCTTCTCTCATCATTCCGGCCGTAGTCAAACTGGATTCCGGCAACTACACGTGCAGCCCCTCGAACAGTGCCCCCCGCACCATTGTGCTTCACGTGCTGAACGGTAAGGGGTGGTGGTGTAATGTGGGTGACTGGGTGATTAAGTGGGTGGTGGTGGCGGTGAGGTGAGGTCGTTGGCGGGGCGGCCTTAACTGTTTGTCTGTCGGTACGGCGGGGCAATTGAATTAAGTTTTCATTTAGCTTAATTGAATTTTATTCGGATGCGTTTGCGTTTGGTTTGACTTTTGATTTTCGCGAAATATCCGCACAGTGGGTCGATCTATCCGATATCATGGCCACCAATTATGAATGTAAATTGAACTTATGCTAAGCTGAAAGTTTCCCAACAAATAGCGCCAGTAAGTACAGAAAATTTAACTAAACTTTTTTGTTTACGCCTTGTTTTCAAATCCCCGCGGTAACCACTGTTCCGGTCATTTGAGAGGTTTTTATTTTGTTTACACAATTTTCTACAATGGCAAACACAATGGCGGCGAAACGAAACGAAATGAAACTGAAACTGAAACCGAAAACCAAACCGAGAGAGTAGGTGCCAGCAAAGGAACAGTTGCAGTTTTATTGTTATCTCGAAATGGCCACAATTGCGTTATTTGCTCAATGTCCGCCAGGCAACATGGACACTGTTGAGTCCGAGGACCAAGGACGCCTACAACAATGCCAGTGATGCTGGCAGCTAGCAGGAGTCTGCGATGACTGACCTATAAATGTCGCTACGTAATGGCTAGCTATCTGTCCGGTTTTTCCTACTATTCCACTCTATTTGTCTATCTTTTGGCTTACACCGGAAAAAAACAAAGCATTGGCTAAAAAATATAATTATTAGTATTCGATTTCATCGAAATACATATTTTATTTATAGTTAAATTAAAGAGTATTATGTTCTGCCAGTTTTTTTCCCCCCAAAGTTTGCATATCAATCATTTGCATTTTAATTATCTTTTGTTAGGCATTTTTTTCACTCGCAAATAAAAACTTATTTGTATTAAATTTAATTCCACTAGGAATTCTCTTTGTGACTTATTTTTTAAGCCGCGGAATAATTCAATCGATCTTTGTTTTGCGCAATTTCTGGCCGTGTGGGCTTGTTGCCACAAATTTCCGCTTTCATTTAAATCGTTTGTCCATCCCGCCCGCTGGCCGTGTTGTCGTTCCTATTTCTGATCCAGTTCCTGTTCCTGGCTGTCAGCTCCGACATGTCCTCGTCCGGATCCTGTGTTTGTTGTGTTTGCTTTTGCGTTTGACTGCTGTTTGCAGCCTGTCGCTTTCCGTTCGGAGCACGCTACTTAAAGGCACTTCAGCACATGACAATATGATTCGACAGTGCCGAGTGTTAGCTGGCACTCGTCTGAGATCCGGCAAAACAAATGCCGAGCGATTGTGACTGATGACACCTGACGGAGGACAAGGACTCGCAGCTGGATTTTCGGGCAGACAGGTACAAGTTGCCCGTCGGATTGTCGGGCTACAAATAATGGCCATAAAAACTCCGGCCTCTTTTTCAAGGGGACTTGTGTCTACATCAGAAAGGGCAAACAATCGTCAAAGAATTTTTGCGCCGCGATTTTAAAATTAAATTCACAATTTAATTTGCTGTGAAATGGGGCAATGCCGCAATGTGCGGCGGCAAAAGCAAACATCATTTATAACAAGGAATTAATGTATTTTTAATATTCGACTAATTGACGCAGATAAAAGAAAGGCTCACAGCCCACTTGCCACGAGTTTTTTTGCTGCTGTTAAGCCGGGCAAATGAGTGAAAGGATGTTAAAGCCGAGGATAATGAAAAACAATGCTCTGGAGATATGTGTTCGGGGCGTAGGCGTGTGTGCCTGGCTGAGTGCCAGACAATAATGAAATTTCAGACAGAAGAGGCCCCTACTTTGCGCTTTTTACATAATTTTAATAACATTTTCCACGAATCGTGGGCAAGTGCGAAAAGGTTAATAAACTTAATGTCATTTCTGCGGCACATTTGTTGTGGCACGTTACATTTTTTGTTGCCGCTGGCGCAACGTTGTTGTGTCATGACAAATGATTATTAATAACTTAATGATATTATCATTTATTTATTCAGGGATTTTTATTTTAATTGCACTCCTCTCACTGATTTATTAAATCAGCTAGGCTGGCCCCAGCCCTTTTTCCCCTTTTTCCTGTGGCATAATTAATTTGCTTATTCATCCCCTGCGCTTTGTGAAGTGGCAATGTCAGCGTGCGGTGGGCCTTTAAATTTATTCAAGTTTAATTATTTTAAATAAGTAATGCCATACATATTCGACAAGTTGCCCCCGCACACACAGTGCATAACTGATTCCGCAGACCGCAGCTCGTTTTAGACTCATTTTCTGATGACTCGCATGATTTTGTTACCGTTGCCGGGGGATACAAACAGTGGTTATGGTAATTGATATCAGGAGGATAATGGGGGAGCCAGTGCTGCTCATAATTAGTTTGGCCTAAATGTGGTTAACTTGTGGGAGACTCCTTATTGGCATGAGAACTTTGAAGGATTCAAAATAGAAATTTAATAAACTTGTAAATTATTCAGTTAGCATGACATGATAGTTAAATAATTTAGTAACACATATTAATATTTAAGCAAAATTTAGTTTAATTCATTTACTAATTTACTATTTAATGAAAAGGGATCAAAGCCCATCGGAAATTTCGGCTCTAATGAGCTGGCTTTATTTACTTTGAAGCTTTCAGTTTATTTCGGGGCAATGCCCATGCAGTTCCAATATTTGCCATGTGCGCATTTCACGCGGACGCCACAAAAATCCATCAGCTGAATTAGCCGAACACGAAATTCGCGTATCACCCACATGAGCGTGAATAAACCGCATGCACTCACACAGACACCCACTCATGTTTGCCGTTCAATTTTTGAATAGAAATATTTAATTACAATGGGCACTTTATTTATCCAATCGAACACAGACGATTTGAGCCCGAATTCGAACAGGAGTCGCGTCTGGGTAGATTTAATTTTTAGTCAAAAATTGATTGTGATGGCTGCGGATTGGGTGCGATTTGGGTTTGGGAAATTCTGCGGATTGCAGTGACATTATTGAATTAGTTTTTGCTACCATGGCGGGATTTATGCCGGTACTGGTGGCGGATAAAAACCGCAACATTCTGTGTTCTCGAATAACTTGTTCCATTCTGTTCCATTACGATCGGCAGGTGAATACTCCGCCTCGGCCATTAAGTCGGGCAGTGTCAGCTGGAGTGCGCTAATTGGATGTCACGGCTATTTGCACTGGCGGAATGTTTCAACGCTTCTGACACTTTTGTGGATTATTAAATTTGCACTGGCCAGGGACATCTGCCAACCGACTGCCAGCAAAGCCACCGCAAGGACATCGGGCACGGTGACAGGAGCAGTGGCAGGAGCAGCAGCTGCAGGAGGTGAAAGAGGACCCAAATCAGAGGCCAGCTTCATCAGAGTCAGCAGCTCAATTAGTGCCACCAAAGTGGCAGAGGACAAGACTTGAGTTGTCCTCAGGCCCTCGCCCGGTCACTTGGATTCTACGCATTAAAGGAGGCTACGAACTAAGATTTTACTCGACTTAAATACACATTAAAGCAGCGTAAGGAGAGCACCCATCACCAAGGCAATATCTGCATAACAGCATCCATTAATTAACTTAATAACCATACTCGATTCATGTTGGTTTTCCATCTGAGTGTAAATTAATATTGGGAGTCACGCTTAGGTTCCGGCATATCGCATATTTTGATTGAAGTGTTGCAAGAATTGTGTAAATAGAATGCACAGTATTCGCCCTTAACGGATAAGAACCATTTCCTTACGTTAATCAATTGGGATCTGCCATGGTTGTATCATAAATAAGTTAACTAATCGCGAGGGATTCGGAACGAGTGAGATTCCAAAAGTGAATCACTAATGAAAAGCCAAAAGAAGGGCATTTTATGAAATAAAACCAAAGAGTTCGGCTCATTGGCCCAATAACGACTAAATGAGACAAGGTTAATTTTAAATTTCTTGGGTTTCCTTAAGCTATAAATTGTAAATATGTACGTATACCTTCTGATATCTGTATGAATACCCCTGATTTTTTGAGACTAAAAATCCATTTTTATGCATAACGAATAACTTTAATTGAATATTCAATACAAGTGTAAATAAACGGGTGTTACTGCGTTCCATTCAAATAAATAACCAAAGCAAGCCAAAAACTAAATGTAAACATTAGTTAGTATATAAAAGACTTACTAAAATTTTAGACGCAGCCAAGCCAAAAAAAACCCAAAACGTAAAACCGAAACTTAATCAACTAAATAAACAGAATTGTAAGGAGTTGCTCCAACGTTGCGTATACTTGATTTGCAACTTAACATTTTATGGGAAAGCAAATGAAAATAAAAATAAAATGGAAATGGAAAATTAATTGAGATGAAACGAAGTGTTTGCAATAATTCTTAAGCCATAACGAATAAGAGAAATACAAATAAATAAAATACAATTTCTTCAATGGAGTAAAATCGATTATTTCTTCAAATGAATTTACAAGCTACGACTGACCACTTGACAAACCAAAAAAAAAAAAAACATTTTTCTAATTAAATTGTTAACGTGTTGGAATACGGAATATCCTTTGCTGAAAAATGCATGCACCTTTCCTGCTTGGTCAGTTTCCTAGCCAGTCAACTCACATATTCAAACGCCGCCTCAGAATTGCAGACAAGTTTGTTAAATATTCATTCATGACTTTACCGCCACACACACGGAGTGCAGAAAAAACCGGGGGGAAAAATAAAGGAGGGACACAATTTATTCGCACTAACAACGTATTAAACTGATGCGAAACCGGGTAGCTTGGCAAACCAACTGGATGTCAAAATATTTCCACCCATGGAACAGCAGGCAACTTTTGTTGAAACCGAAATGAATTCAACAGTAATTTTGTGTGGTTATTGGGCAGGAAGAGGGCGTGGCCATGCATAAACCAACTGTGCAAGTTATATGTTGGGATCCAGATTATTAGTTGTGAATTTAGCAGTCGATGGCTTTTTGTGAATTTTAAATAATGTCATCCCACATTTCATTTAAATTAATTCTATTAAATGAAATTCACCCCCACATTGGAAGAAGCTTTACTTTTTTAAGCCAAATTAATGCTAATTGGTTTTAATGGAATTATAAAAACTAGTCATGATTATTCATTTGATTATTCCCTTTTCCAATTAGTTGCTGATAAACCTATTACTCAACTTAATTGCCACATTTTTTTAACGATTTAAAGAGCTAACCTGTCGTCTGTCAACTTGATAAACTATTATGATCTTAAACGTTCTTCAGCGCCATTTAGTGCACAGCATGGGAGTTGTCAGGGCGGTCGGTTGGGTCTTTAAGGAAAAAAGGGAAATCAAAATGAAAATGAAAAGCGTTTGTGGCATTTGTTTCAACAAGCGTGCGCAAAGTGGTTGACGAGCCGAGAAGAGCGGAGTGAGGTGATGTGCAGGTGACGACCCCGGAGCGGTGAGATGAGCAGGAATGTGGCATAAATCAGGCTGTACATGGAGATGGAGACATCCCATACCATGCCAACCCATCCTCCTCCTCGTTGTCAGCCAATCATAGTTTTCACACTCTAGTTAACATCATTGTCACCGAGTTTCACTCACTCCCAGATTCTGTACATAGGAAAGTAGAGGGGAAAAAATTGGTTGACGTTTGCAGTTTGTCACCATCTCTCTTCTGGCTCTTCTGGTCCCGTGTACTTCCCCCTATTTGGTGCACAATTCCAACGAATTTCCATTGCTGCCATTGCCGACCGAGTTTGGCACCCTTTTTCGGATGGAATTCTGCGTTTGTCGTTTTTAAAATTTTACCAACGTTGACATTTAAGTTAATTTGCATATTGCCGCACAAAATTTGCCTGATGGCGGGTTGGCAAGGCAGCCGCTGCCTATGATGATTATGACAATGAGGGCAAGGCAATGGACCCTGAACTCCATGAATGTCACAGCCCACCTATCCATGTGCTACCTCCTCGCAAAAAACTCGGTATTTGCATTATATTTCCCGCCCTTTTATCGTGCCGAGTCAGTTTTAAAAACTAAATGTTGGCCAATTACACAAGAAATTAACATAAAGTTCCCATTCAAAGAAATGCTAAAATTTCCACCATCTGCATACACAGTTGGCAGCAGAAATATATAGTTCTGTTTTTATTAAAAAGAGCGTTTTCAGTTGTTGAAAGTTGAATTGGTATAGTTAAGCTTAAATTCTGATTGGTAAAAGGAATTTCCATATTTTTTACCCATCCGAAAATTTCAGTAAACGTTAATTTGGAACCCAAAAGCGCTTAAAATCTCAGCCATACGAGTGGTAGTAAACCGCAGCTTGCCGAACTACGTGCACGTTGCATATTAATCAAATCTGCTCCGCAGCAGCGAGTTGTTGCAATTTAGCTGGATTCAGGGCGCCATAAAATATGCCAGCAGAAACCAAAGAGTGCCCGCATCCACATCCACATCCACTGGATCCACATCCACATCCGCATCCCACGTCCCTGTCGGCATCCGCAGGGGATCACACTTGTCTATGCGCGTTTAGCACGATGGCTGCCACAAGGCTTTATGGTTGCCTTGCCACCCAGCTCGTGGCACCCAATTTCCGGTGCTTGCGTAAATACATTATGCAGCTTACAACTACTTAACTGGCGGCAAAGTGCGGGGAGCTCGCGGCATAAAGTGGCGAATTCAAGGTGCAACTTTTGTCGATACAAGCTCCTGCTTCTGCTTCTGCCTTTGCCTGTGCTCCTCGGAGGAGCCGTCCTGAAAGGATGCAATAAAAGTGCACGGGAAAACTGTGAAAAAGGTGAAGATTACGCACTGAATAAGAATACGAGGCTTTCCGGCAGGGTATGCGTGCACTTGAAAAGAAATTGTGATCTTAATTTAGCACTCACGCAGTGGAAGATTTATTTCCTTAATTTAGTTATTTTAAAAATTATTAAGGACTTTTTATTTCTGTACCTTAAGTATTAGATAAATTATTATTTATTTATTTAAAACAAAATCTTACGCATCTAAGTGAGATTAATTATAATTTTAGCTACAAGGCTGGTCGAAAATAAATTATTTGTTGTTTGTTACTGGTTTTTCATTCGTAACTTGGTCAAATCAAGGCGCATAGCAAAAACACCGACTGTTTTGAGCAGCCAAGAAAAATCCCCATCACTTGTAAAAAAAATATTATTTGATTAATTTTCATGATTTTTTACGAAAAATGAAATGCAAGTTTCCAGGTTGGAATGCCAATCGAATAAAAGTTTAATTTCGAGCCCAACAAGGTATTGCATTCTGACCTTATTCCACTAATATTTTTGGACGAAAAATAAGGATTATCATTTTCATGCCCTTTGTTTGGTACAAATGAGACTTTCGTTTGTCTCTGTGTAAATGATGGTAAGTTTGTATGTGTTGGGTTGTGAGAGAACTGGCACTCAACCTGAATCCAGACAGACACTTTGAGGCAGCGCCATTCAGATGACAAACATGTGTGATACGCCACTTGCACCCAGCCAGTGCTATCTGCATTTGCAACAACAGTTTTTCTTTGGCGGCGCCTCTCTCGCCCTTTTCCACCCTTTCCACCCCCACCTCATCATCACACAACCCCCTGGATAGCTCGTCTGTCAGCGTGGCATACTCATGAAAGTTAAGGACTTGCATAACTTCTGGCATTTATGTGCGCTTTTCACCTGCTTGCCAACAGCTTCACCTACTTTCACTCCCGCCCCCTCTGGCGACCGCCCACTTTTCCATGCTTCATTACGCTAATGCCGTGTTTTCAAATTATTTTACAAGCCCCCACCCGCTGGTGAGTGGAATTCCTTCCGCTATTTGTTGCATACTAAATGGGGGAGCGGTCTGATTAGCATGTGATAAACTAGTTTAGGTGCTGTGACATAGTTGCTATCCCAGGACATAGGCGTTATTTGAAATGCACAGTAATCGGTGAGTAGTTCTGTTACAAATCCAAAGGGAAGTACAGAGTACTAAATTTCTGAATTTAAAGTAATACCTCCCTTTGAGCACATCTTACGACCTAAAAGCCATCTAATTAAATGCATAATAATTAAGATTGGATATCATCAAATTAATGAAAGTCCAAAGCAAGTCTCTGCGGCAAAGGTGATGGCCAAGGTGGGCTGAAATAACGACAGGTTGTTTGCTTTACATAATTATTTCATTAAGTGTTTTGTGTGCGGCTTTGAGACCAGTGCTGTCATGAGCTACCAGTCAGCAGTCGCCCCGAGGAGAGCCGGGCTTATTGAGGGACCTTTTCACTTTTCCACTTTGGTAATTCCAGCATTTAACAAGTCGGAAAGCAGCTTCAGCAGCAGCAGCAGCAGCAGACATCCCGCAGCACTCGCCTTGACCTCAGGCAGTGCCAAATCCGGAGGCGAACGCCAGGATGCTGGGATGCCAAGATGCGGGGAGATGTGGCATAGCTCATTAACAAACATTAGTTGCAAATGTTGTGAATTACTTAAGGAATTAATATTCCATGCTTCACACACACACAGTCTCTCGGGGAAGATGGGGACTGGGGGTCTGGAACTTAATCTCCCCGAGGGCCTCTGGCACTCTACGTCGGCAGCCAAATGAGCGAGAGTCATAAGTCCTGCCTGCACACTCACATCTACTTCTTAAATCCTGCTCAGCTTCTGCTGTGTACACTGCGGCGTATACTAATGCAAACTAATTCATTTCCACATACACATCCACAGCTACTCACACTCGCACTCCCAATCGGTTATCATCGTCTTCATCATTAGAACGATGCTTGTCTGCTGCGCTAGTTAATGATAGTTGACCTCCCCCGTAAGCATATTGAATTAATGAAAGCTTTTTGTCTGTTGACCAAGATATATTCACCGGCTTGCCTCAGTCCATCCATGAACAAGGGTTCCCTGCTTTGTCCGTCCTTATAAATTGACTTGAAGCCGTCTAATCATCAACCGCATTGTTGTCCTTCGAGATGAAGAGTGTTAAGTGATTAATAATTCAGTGCTATTCTGGGTTATGGCGTTCCTGCTTCCGATTGATTCACCATTATTTTTAGAAATTTTAAAGGCTTTAATAAATAAGTTTAGTATGCCTTTCTTAACTTAAAATTTGATTCCATTGAAGTTTAATCTAATTTTATTAGGAAGCCCTGTATATGAAGAGAAATATATTAACCACCCTTTAACCCATTAACATAAATTGACAAAAGCCAGAGTATGGACAAATATTTATTAAATAGTTAAATACTTCAGTGCTTATTTTTAGCTTAGTTAATATTTATCGAATGCTAAAATCCACCTTTCTAAAAAGAAACTCAGAACTTAAATCTATATTTCGACTCAGCTGTTTTTCGTTTATATTTGTCTTGGCCTAGCACAGTTTTCAGCGTCCTCTGCCTTATCGCATTACCTTATAGAAGTGG